ATCCCAATCCTATTCCCGATTATCCCAGTCCCCATTCCTGGCTCCCAATCCCATTCCTGGCCCCATTCCCAGTTCCCATTCCCGATTGTCCCAACCCCATTCCAGTTTTCCCAACCCTATTCCCGATTATCCCAATCCCATTCCCAGTTCCCCAGTTCCCATTCCCAGTTCCCAATGATCCCATTCCCAATTGTCCCAATCCCATTCCCAGTATCCCAATCCCATTCCCCATTGTCCCATTCCCATTCCCAATTATCCCAGCCCCATTCCCAATTATCCCAGCCCCATTCCCAATCCCATTCCTGGCCCCATTCCCAATTATCCCAATCCCATTCCCAGTTCCCCAGGGCCAATTCCCAGTTCCCAATGATCCCAACCCCATTCCCAATTTCCAACCCCATTCCCAATCCCATTCCCGATTATCCCAGTCCCAGTCCTGGCTCCCAACCCCATTCCCAGTCCCCAATCCCATTCCCAATGATCCCATTCCCATTTATCCCATTCCCAATGATCCCAATCCCATTCCCAATGATGCCAATGATCCCAATCCCATTCCTGATTATCCCAATCCCATTTCCAATTATCCCAATCCCATTCCCAATTATCCCATTCCCAATGATCCCAATTATCCCAATCCCATCCCCGATTATCCCAATCCCATTCCCAATGATCCCAATCCCATTCCCAATGATCCCAATCCCATTCCTGATTATCCCAATCCCATTCCTGATTATCCCAACCCCGTTCCCGATGATCCCAACCCCATTCCCCGATTCCCAAATTCCCAACAAAATTCCCGACACTCCTGAGGCCGTGGTGCCAACGCCGGCGTTTATTGGGGAGAAAACATGGAATTTTGGGGGGAAAAAAACCATGGAATTTTGGGAAAAACAATGGAATTTTGGGGAAAAAACCCCATGGAATTTGGGGAAAAAAAAACATGGAATTTTGGGAAAAAATCCCAACCATCCCCAAATTCCTGTGACTTTTCGGGAGCCAATCCCAGAATTCCCAAAGTTTCCTTTCCCCACCCTTCCCTTTGCCGTTCCCGGGGTTTTTTTGGGAATGTTCCGGATTTGCCGCCAGGAATTCCCAAATTTTCCCTGCCCCAAATCCGGTTGGATCCCAGGAATCCGAGAATCCCCAAATTCCTCCCAAGTTCCTCCTCTCCCATTTTTTTCCTGGGGAATTGTTCAGGATTCCCAAAAAATTCCCAAAAATCCAGAAAAATCTTCCAAGCAGGAACACCCAAAACTGCAGGAACTCATCCCAAAATTTCGGGAAAATCCCAAAATTCCCAATATTCCGGCATCCCAGGTCCATCTGCAGCAGCCCAAGGGTGGAATTTCCCCCAAAAATTTGGGATTTTCCCAAAAAAATTGGGATTTTTCCCCAAAAAAATCCCATTCCAAGGGAGGCGGGAATTCTCCATCCCGGATTTTCCAGTTGGGAATTCCAGGAATTTTCCTTTTGGGATTTTTCATTTTGGGGTTTTCCTTTTGGGAATTTCCATCCAGGAATTCCAGGATTTTCCATTTGGGATTTTCCCTTTTGGGATTTTTAATTTGGGATTTTTCATTTTGGGATTTTCCTTTTGGGATTTTCCATTTTGGGATTTTCCATCCAGGAATTCCAGGAATTTTCCATTTGGGATTTTTCATCCGGGTCTTTCCCTTTGGGATTTTCCATCCAAAATGTTTCATCTGGAATTTTCCATTTGGGATTTTCCATTTTCCATCTGGAATTTTCCATCCGGAGTTTTTTATCTGGGATTTCCACAATTTCCCATTTGGGATTTTTTTTCTGGGATTTTTCCTTATGGGATTTTCCCTCTGGAATTTTCCATTTGGGCTTTTCCATCCCAAATTTTCCATTTGGGATTTTTTCTTCTGGGATTTTTCCATTTGGGATTTTCCATCCTGATTTTTCCTTTTGGGATTTTCCCTCTGGAATTTTCCTGTTTGGGATTTCCCATCTGGAATTTTCCATCCAGAATTTTCCATCTGGGAATTCCACAATTTCCCATTTGGGATTTTCCCTCCGGAATTGTCCATGTGGGATTTTCCATCCTGAATTTTCCCTCTGGAATTTCCCATTTGGGATTTTCCACCCATAATTTTTCATTCAGGAATTCCAGGATTTCCCATTTGGGATTTTCCATTTTCTATCCCAAATTTTCCATTTCGGGATTTCTCCATTTGGGATTTTCCATCCTGATTTTCCCTTTTAGGATTTTCCCATCTCCGATTTTCCGTTTGGGATTTTCCATTTTGGGATTTTCCATCCGGAACTTTCCATCCCGGATTTTCCATCTGGGATTTTTCCATTTGGAATTCCAGGACTTTTTATTTGGGAATTCCCATTTTCCTTCTGGAATTTTCTATTTGGGATTTTCCATCCAGGATTTCCCATTTGGGATTTTTTTTTTCCATCCAGGATTTTTCATCTGGAATTTTTTATCCAGGAATTCCAGGATTTTTCCATTTGGGATTTTCCATCTGAGATTTCCCATTTGGGATTTTCCATCCCAAATTTCCCATTTGGAATTTTCCATTTAGGATTTTCCATTTAGGATTTTCCCTCCGGAATTTTCTCTCCAGAATTTTCCATTTGGGATTTTCCATTTAGGGATTTTCTTCTGGGATTTTGCATTTGGGATTTTCCATTTTCCCTTTGGGATTTTCCTTCTGGAACGTTTCATCCGGAATTTTCTATTTGGGATTTTCCATCCCAAATTTCCCATTTGGGATTTTCCATCCAGGATTTCCCATTTGGGATTTTTTTTTTTCCATCCAGGATTTTTCATCTGGAATTTTTTTATCCAGGAATTCCAGGATTTTCCATTTTGGGATTTTCCCATTTGGGATTTTCCATTTGGGATTTTCCATCTGAGATTTCCCATCTGGGATTTTCCATCCCAAATTTCCCATTTGGAATTTTCCATTTAGGATTTTCTATTTGGGATTTTCCCTCTGGAATGTCCTATCCAGAATTTTCCAGTTGGGATTTTCCATCTGGGATTTTCCCATTTGGGATTTTCTTCTGGGATTCTGCATTTGGGATTTTCCATTTCCCATTTGGGATTTTCCATCCAGGATTTCCCATTTGGGATTTTTTTTTCCATCCAGGATTTTTCATCTGGAATTTTGATCCAGGAATTCCAGGATTTTCCATTTTGGGATTTTCCATTTCGGGATTTTCCCATTTGGGATTTTTCCATGTTGGGATTTTCCATTTTGGGATTTTCCCATTTGGGATTTCCCAGCCCCACCCTTCATTTCTCTGAGCTCCTTCCCAACGCTGCAATTCCCAATTTTCTTTTTTTTTTTTCCCAAGAAATTCCAGTTATCCCAGGAAAAATCCCCATTCCTGCAGCTCCTTCCCCCCAAAAAAAAACCCCAGGAAATGCCAGGAAAACCTGGGATGATCCCAAAAAAAATCCAGGAAAATCCCAGGAAAAACCTGGGACCATCCCCAAAAAAATCCAGAAAATCCCAGGAAAACCAGGAACGATCCCAAAAAATACCCCAGGGAATCCTGGGAAAATGGGGGGGAGCATCCCAAAAAAACCCTGGAGAATCCCAGGAAAACCCAAAACAATTCCAAAAAATCCCCACCAAACCCCTCAGGAAATCCCGGAAAAATGGGGACAATCCCAGGAAAACCCAGAACGAGCCCAAAATAAACCCAGAAAATCCCAGGAAAATCCCCAAAAAACACAAGGAAATCCCAGGAAAACCCAGAATGATCCCAAAAAATCCCTCAGGAAATCCCAGAAAAGTGAGGATGATCCCAAAAAAACCCTGGAGAATCCCAGGAAAACCTGGAACAATTCCAAAAAACCCCTAAAAAAGTCCTCAGAAAATTCCCAAAAAAACTCAGAAAAGCCCTGGAAAACTGGGGATGATCCCAAAAAAACCCCTTGGAAAATCCCAGGAAAACCCCCCCAAAAAAACCCCAGACAATCCCAGGAAAACCCAAAACCACCACTCGGGAAATCCCAGGAAAACTGGGAATGATCCCAAAAAAAACCCCAGAGAATCCCAGGAAAAACCCAAAACCCCTCAGGAAATCCCACACAAAACCCGGGACGATCCCAAAAGAATCCCAGGGAAACCCCCAAAAAATTCCAGAATATTCCAGAATATCCCAGGGATGGTCCCCAAAAAAATCCTCAGGAAATGCCTGGAAAACCTGGGACGATCCCAAAAAACCCCTCAGGAAATCCCAGAGAAATGGGGACAAATCCCGTGGAAAACCCCAAAAATCCCAGGAAACCCGGGGGTGATCCCAAAAAAAACCCCAAACCCTGGAGAATCCCAGGAAAACCCCAGAACAATCCCAAAAAATCCTCGGGAAATCCCAGGAAAACTGGGAGTGATCCCAAAAAAACCCCAGAGAATCCCAGGAAAAACCCAAAACCCCTCAGGAAATCCCACACAAAACCCGGGAGGATCCCGAAAGAATCCCAGGGAAAGCCCAAAAAAACCCCTCAGGAAATCCCAGGAAATCCCAGGAAAATGGGGACAAATCCCGTGGAAAACCCCAAAAACCCAGAAAAACTGGGGGTGATCCCAAAAAAACCCCAAACCCTGGAGAATCCCAGGAAAACCCCAGAACAATCCCAAAAAAAAACCCCAAAATCCCAGAAAACCTGGGGGTGATCCCAAAAAAAACCCAGAAACCCTGGAGAATCCCAGGAAAACAATCCTAAAAAAAGCCCGGAGGATCCCAGGAAAATCCCAAAACCCCTCAGGAAATCCCACCCAAAACCCGGGAAGATCCCAAAGAAATCCCAGGGAAAGCCCAAAAAAATCCCAGAATATCCCAGGGACGATCCCAAAAAAACCCCTCAGGAAATGCCTGGAAAACCTGGGATGATCCCAAAAAACCCCAGGAAAACGGGAGCGACCCCAAAGCCCGAGCGGCGCCTCCGAGGGATTTGGGGAATTTTTGGGAATTTTTGGGAATTTTTGGGAATCGCGGCGCTCCCGGAAGGTTCAGTAGACGCAGAGATCCGGGAATTTCATCTCATACACCGGGATGGAGTGGGGGGGCTGGGATTGGGATTGGGATTGGGATTGTTGGGATTGGGATTGTTGGGATTGTTGGGATTGTGGGGATTGGGATGGGCCCAGCACGGCCGGGACGGCCCCGGAGGGACTCGGGGGAGGCCTGGGGGAAACACGGGAAAAAAATGGGAAAAGGGAATTGGGGAAAATGGGGAAAGGGGATTGGGGAATGGGGAAAGGGGAATATGGGGTGGGAATTGGGATTTGGGGTGGGAAAAATGGGATTTGGGATGGGGAAAGGGGATTTGGGGTGGGAAAAGGGGAATTTGGGAATGGAAAAGTGGGGATTTGGGGTGGGGAAAATGGGATGGGGAAAATGGGATTTGGGATGGGAAAATGGGATTTGGGAATGGGGAAAGGGGATTTGGGGTGGGATTTGGGGTGGGGAAAGGGGGGATTTGGGAATGGAAAATTGGGAAGGAAAAGGGGATTTGGGATGGGGAATTGGGATTTGGGAATGGGGAACAGTGGGATGGGAACGGGATTTGGGAATGGGGAAAGGGAATTTGGGAATGGGGAAAGTGGGAATTGGGGATTTGGGAATTGGGATTTGGGGTGGGGAAAGTGAGAATTGGGATTTGGGAACAGGAAAAGTGGGAATTTGGGATGGGGATTGGGATTTGGAGATGGGAAATCGGGAAGGAAAAGGGGGTTTGGAGTGGGAAAAGAGGGAATTGGGATTTGGGGTGGGAAAAATGGGATTTGGGGTGGGGAAGGGAATTTGGGATGGGAAATTGGGAAGGAAAAGGGGGTTTGGAGTGGGAAAAATGGGATAGGAATGGGATTTGTGATGGGAAAAGGGGGAGTTGGGATTTGGGAATGGGGAAAATGGGATGGGAAAGGGGATTTGGGAATGGGAAATTGGGATTTGGGAATAGGGAAAGTGGAAAGGAAACGGGGGTTTGGAGTGGGAAAAATGGGAGTTGGGATTTGGGATGGGAAAAATGGGATGGGAATGGGATTTGGGAATGGGGAATTGGGATGGGAAAAGAGGGAATTGGGGTGGGAAAAGGGGATGGGGAAGGGGATTTGGGAATGGAGAAAGGGGGAATTGGGATTTGGGAAATTGGGAAGGAAAAGGGGGTTTGGGGTGGGAAAAGAGGGAATTGGGATTTGGGATGGGAATTATGGGATTTGGGGTGGGGAAAATGGGATGGGAATGGGATTTGGGATGGGGAATTGGGAAGGAAAAGGGGATTTGGGGTGGGAAAAGGGGAATTTGGGAATGGGAAAAGAGGGAATTTGGGAAGGGGGAATTGGAATTTGGGGTGGGAAAAGTGGGAATTTGGGGTGGGAATTGGGATTTGGGAATGGGGAAATCGGGAAGGAAAAGGGGGTTTGGAGTGGGAAATAGGATTTGGGATGGGAAAAATGGGATGGGGATGGGATTTGGGATGGAGAAAGGGGATTTGGGGTAGGGAATTGGGATTTGGGAATGGGGAAAGGGGGGATTTGGGGTGTGAAAAGCAGGAATTTGGGGTGGGGAATTGGGGTGGGAAAAATGGGAAGGAAAAAGAAGTTTCAGGTAGGAACAGCAGGAATTCCCAGATTCCCCGTTACTGATCCCAAAATCCCATTCCCAACCCTAAATTCCCATTCCTGAATAATTCCCAATCCCAAATTCCCGAATTCCCAATCCCAAGGTCCCATCCCCATTCCCAAATCCCGTCCCCAATCCCAAATTCCTGTCCCTGCTCCCACATTCCCATCTCCGATCCCAAATTCCCAACCTTGATCCCAAATTCCCGATCCCAAATTTCTGTCTCTGATCCCAAAATTCCCTTATTTCCCTGAACTCCCCAATTCCCAAATCCCCAATCCCAAATTCCCCAAATCCCAATCCTGAATTCCCTCATTCCCCCATTCCCAAATTCCCAACTCCCCCCACATTCCCCCACTTCCCTCATTCCCAAACAATTCCCAGACATTCCCCAATCCCCATTCCCATTCCCCCATTCCCATATTCCCCATTTCCCTATTCCCAAATTCCTGAATTTCCCCCATTCCCGATTTTCCCCATTCCCCCATTCCCATTCCCCAATTTCCCCATTCCCATTCCCCACTTCCCCATTCCCCCATTCCCGAATTTCCCCCATTCCCATTCCCCATATTCCATATTCCCAAATTTCCCCATTCCCGAATTTTCCCCATTTCTGATTTTCCCCATTCCCACTCCCCATATTCCCATATTCCCGAATTTCCCCCATTCCCAAATTTCCCCATTCCCCCATTCTCAAATTTCCCCATTCCCATTCCCCATTCCCCCATTCTCAAATTTCCCCATTTTCCCGAATTTCTCCCATTCCCGAATTTCCCCATTCCCATTCCCCAATTTCCCCCATTCCCGAATTTCCCCATTCCCATTCCCCAATTTCCCCCATTCCCAAATTTCCCCATTCCCATTCCCCAATTTCCCCCATTCTCAAATTTCCCCACTCCCATTCCCCATTCCCCCATTCCCGAATTTCCCCATTTTCCCCGAATTTCCCCCATTCCCGAATTCCGCCCATTCCCATTCCCCATATTCCCGAATTTCCCCATATTCCCCCATTCCCATTCCCCAATTTCCCCATTCCCAATTTTCCCCATTTCCCCATTCCCCACTTCCCCATTCCCCATCCCCATTTCCCATTCCCCATATTCCCCTATTCCCGAATTCCCCCATTCCCACTCCCCATATTCCCATATTCCTGAATTTCCCCCATTCCCGATTTTCCCCATTCCCCAATTTCCCCCATTCCCATTCCTCATTCCCCCATTCCCGAATTCCGCCCATTCCCATTCCCCATATTCCCAAATTTCCCCCATTTCCCCATTCCCATTCCCCAATTTCCCCATTCCCCCATTCCCATATTCCCCATTTCCCCATTCCCGAATTCCCAAATTCCCCCATCCCCATTCCCATTCCCATCCCCATTCCCGAATTTCCCCCATCCCCATTCCCCATTCCCATTCCCATTCCCCCATTCCCATTCCCCATTCCCCATTCCCCATTCCCATTCCCCCATTCCCCATTCCCCATTCCCCATTCCCCATTCCCCATTCCCCATTCCCCATTCCCCATTCCCATTCCCCATTCCCCATTCCCATTCCCCAATCCCATCCCCATCCCCATTCCCATTCCCATTCCCATTCCCCATTCCCCATTCCCATTCCCATTCCCATCCCCATCCCCCATTCCCATTCCCCATTCCCATTCCCCATTCCCCATTCCCATTCCCCATTCCCCATTCCCATTCCCCATTCCCATTCCCATTCCCCATTCCCATTCCCCATTCCTATTCCCCATTCCCATTCCCCATTCCCATTCCCCATTCCCCATTCCCATTCCCCATTCCCCATTCCCCATCCCCATTCCCATTCCCATTCCCATTCCCATTCCCATTCCCCCATTCCCATTCCCCATTCCCATTCCCCATTCCCCATTCCCCATTCCCATTCCCCATTCCCATTCCCCCATTCCCCCATTCCCATTCCCCCATTCCCCACTCCCCATTCCCCCATTCCCCCATTCCCATTCCCCCATTCCCCACTCCCCATTCCCCCATTCCCATTCCTCCATTCCCCATTCCCATTCCCCATTCCCATTCCCCATCCCCATTCCCATTCCCCCATTCCCCCATTCCCGAATTTCCCCCATCCCCATTCCCCATTCCCCATTCCCATTCCCCGTTCCCCATTCCCATTCCCATTCCCCATTTCCCCATTCCCCATTCCCCATTCCCGAATTTCCCCCATTCCCATTCCCGAATTTCCCCCATTCCCATTCCCATTCCCCCATTCCCCCATTCCCCCATTCCCGATTTTCCCGATATTCCCGATTTTCCCCCATTTTCCCCAATTTTCCCCCCGTGTGTCCCTCACCTGACGCTCATGTGCAGGATCTGGTTCAGTTTGCTCTGCAGCAGCGACGCCTGCGGGAAACACCCAAACCAATTAACGCAGTAATTAACTCATTACATCGTTAACCAACGGGAACCGCTAATTGACTAATGGGACACACCCGGCCCAATTAACTCAGTAATTAACTGATGACATCGTTAACAGGAACCATTCTTGACTGATGGCAAACACCCAACCCAATTAACGCAGTAATTAACTGATTACCCAGCTAATGAACTTTTAATTGACTGACAGGAAACACCCAACCCAATTAACTCATTAATTAATTGATTACCCAGCTACATAATGGGAATCCTTAACTGACTAACAGGAAACACCCAACCCAATTAACTCAGTAATTAACTGATTACCCTGCTAATGGAACTGTTAATTGACTGACGGGAAACACCCAAGCCATCAATTAGCTCATTAATGAACTGATGAGCTCGTTAACGAACGGGAACCGCTAATTGACTAACAGGGAACACCCAGCCCAATTAACTCATTAATTAACTGATTACCCAGCCAACTAATGGGAACCATTGATTCACTAACGGGACCCCAACTCACCAATTAACTCATTAATTAACTGATTACCCAGCTAATGGAACCGTTAATTGACTGATGGGAAACACCCAGCCCACCAATTAACTCAGTAATTAACTGATTACCTCATTAACGGGAACCATTACTTGACCAACGGGAAACACCCAACTCATCAATTAACTCATTAATTAACTGATTATCCTGCTAATGGAACCGTTAATTGACTGACAGGGAACACCCGACCCACCAATTAACTCATTAATTAACTGATTACCCTGCTAACGAACGGGAACCGTTAATTGACTGATGGGAAACACCCAATCCATCAATGGCCAGCGGCCAATTAACTCATTAACTAATTAGCTAGCTAGCTGACTAACGGGAATCATTAATGAACAAACAGGAATCTGTAATTATTGTTTCATTAATAATTAATTAAGTCACAGAAGTAATTAATTAAATTCCCACATTTAATCCCAGTTTTAATCCCAGATTTAATCCCAGCTTTATTCCCGGGATCGTTTATTCCCATAACAATTCCTGGGTTCATTCCTGGGATAATCCCAGCTTTAATCCCAGATTTATTCCTGGGATCATTTATTCTGGGAACGATTCCCAGATTTATTCCTGGGATAATTCCCAGATTTATTCCCAGGCTCATTCATTCCCATAACAATTCCTGGGTTCATTCCTAGGATAATCCCAGCTTTAATCCCAGATTCATTACGGGATTAATTCCTGAATTGATTCCTGGATTTTTCCTGGCTTCATTCCTGGGATAATCCCAACTTTAATCCCAGATTTATTCCTGGTATAATCCCAGCTTTAATCCCAGATTTCTTCATGGGATTATTCCCAGATCAATTCCCCAGATTTATTCCCGGGATCATTTATTCCCGTAATAATTCCTGGATTCATTGCTGGGGTAATCCCAATTTTAATCCCAGATTTATTCCCAGGCTCATTCATTCCCATAACAATTCCTGGCTTCATTCCTGGGATAATCCCAGCTTTAATCCCAGATTTATTCCAGGATTCATTCCCAGATTTATTCCTGGGATCGTTTATTCCCAGATCAATTCCTGGCTTCATTCCTGGGATAATCCCATCTTTAATCCCAGATTTATTCCCGGGATAATTTATTCCCATAACAATTCCTGGCTTCATTCTTGGGATAATCCCAACTTTAATCCCATCTTTAATCCCAGATTTATTCCTGAGATAATTCCCGGATCAATTCCCAGATTTATTCCCGGGATCATTTATTCCTGGATCAATTCCTGGCTTCATTCCTGGGATAATACCATTTTTAACCCCATCTTTAATCCCCCCGGGATTTATTCCCAGATTTATTCCCAGGCTCATTTATTCCTGTGACAATTCCTGGGTTCATTCCTGGGATAATCCCAAATTTAATCCCATCTTTAATCCGAGATTTATTCCTGGGATAATTCCCAGATTTATTCCCGGGCTCATTCATTCCCGTAACAATTCCTGGCTTCATTCCTGGGATAATCCCATCTCTAACCCCAGTTTTAACCCCATCTTTAATCCCATCTCCAATCCCATCTCTAATCCCATCTCTAACCCCAGTTTTAATCCCCTCTCTAATCCCAGTTTCAATCCCATTTTTCCTCCCAGATTATTCCCGGGGTGCTGACCCTGGCCCCGCAGTGCGCCGCGATCTCCTCGAACGGCGCCTTCTGGAACCTCTGCACCAGCAGCCGCCGCCGCTCCCGCTCCTGCTCCTCCGCGGCCACGCTGTCGGCTGGGGGATGACAGCAACGGGGCAAAAAATGGGCAAAAAAACGGGGAAAAATGGGTAAAAAACGGGGGAAAAAAGGGGTAAAAAATGGGTAAAAACGGGGAAAAAAATGGGCAAAAAACGGGGAAAAAATGGGGAAAAAAATGGGCAAAAAATGGGCAAAATATGGGCAAAAAACGTCAAAAAAAGTCAAAAAAATGGGCAAAAAATGGGCAAAAAACAGGCAAAAATGTCAAAAAAATGGGCAAAAAATGGGCAAAAAACAGGAAAAAATGGGCAAAATATGGGCAAAAAACGGGGAAAAAATGGGCAATAAATGGGAAAAATACGGGCAAAAAACGGGGAAAAAATGGGCAATAAATGGGAAAAATACGGGCAAAAAACGGGGAAAAAAATGGGCAAAAAACAGGAAATACATGGGGAAAAAAAGGGCAAAAAAATGGGCAAAAAAATGGGCAAAAAAGAGGAAAAAAAAGGGGAAAAAACGGGAAATAAATGGGCAAAAATGGGAAAAAAATGGGCAAAAAAAGGGGAAAACAAAGCAACAAAAATTCCCATTCCATTCCCAAAAATCCCACCCGAAAAAACTACTAAGAATCCTAAAGAATGCCAAAAATCCTTTAAAAAAGCCCAAATAATTCCACAAAAAAACAGCCCCATAAATTCAAATGAAGTTACCCCCAAAATTCCAGACATAAAATAAAAATTCCCAAAAATCCCCCCAAAAAGCCCTGAGAAATCCTCCCCCAAAACCCGAAGAATTCCCAAAAATCCCCAATCATAAAACCGCCCCAAAATCCTTAAAAAAACCCCAAAAAATCCCCCCAAAAACCCCATAAAAATAAAATAAAATTCCCAATAAAATCCCGAACAAATTCCCCCAAAAATCCCAAAAATTCCCAAAAATCTCCTTTATAAACCCGCCTGAAAATCCTTTAAAAAAACCCAAAAATCCCCCCAAAACTCCTGAAAAATCTCCCCAAAAATCCTAAAAAATTCCCCAAAAAAATCCCAACAAATTCCCCAAAAACTTCCCAAAAATCCCCCTATAAACCCCCTGAAAATCCTTAAAAAAAACCCAAAAAATTCCCCCAAAACCCCATAAAAATCCCAACAAATTCCCCAAAAAATTCCCAAAAATCCCCAATAAACACCCCAAAATCCTTTAAAAAACCCAAAAATCCCCCTAAAACTCCCAAAAAATTCCCCCCAAAACCTCAGAAAAATCCCCCAAAAATTCCCAGAAAATTCCCCAATAACCCCCCCCACAAAATCTTGCAAAAAAAACCCCAAAAAAACCCTGAAATATTCCCTCCAAAATTCCCAAAAAATTCCCAAAATTGCCCAAACCCCCCCCCTGAAAATCCTTAAAAAAAAACCCCAAAAATTCCCCCCAAAACCCCATAAAAATCCCCCAAAAATCCCAAAAATCCTCCAATAAACCCCGCCCAAAATCCGTTAAAAAAAACCAAAAAATTCCCCCCCCAAAAAAAAACCCTGAAAAATCTCCCCAAAAACCCCATAAAAATCCCAAAAAATCCCCCAATAAAACCCCCTGAAAATCCTTTAAAAACCCCAAAATTCCCCCAAAAACCCCTGAAAATCTCCCCAAAAACCCCATAAAAATCCCCCAAAAATTCCCAAAAATCCCCCAATAAAGCCCCCCAAATCCTTTAAAAAACCCCCAAAAAACCCCTAAAACTCCCAAAAAATTCCCCTCAAAACCCCACAAAAATCCCAAAAAAATTGCCCAAAATCCCCCAACAAACTTCCCCCAAATCCTTTAAAAAACCCCAAAAATCCCCCCCAAAACCCCATAAAAATCCCCAAAAATTCCCCAAAAAATTTTAAAAAAATTCCCCAAAAATCCCCCTATAAACTTCCCCCAAATCCTTTAAAAAAGCCCAAAAAATCCCCCCAAAACCCCTGAAAAAATCTCCCCTAAAACCCCATAAAAATCCCAAAAAAATCCCCCAATAAAACCCCCCTGAAAATCCTTAAAAAAACACAAAAATCCCCCCCAAAACCCCTGAAAAATCTCCCCCAAAACCCCATAAAAACCCCCAAAAATTCCCAAAAATCCCCCATAAACCTCCTGAAAATCCTTTAAAAAACCCAAGAAATCCCCCTAAAAACCCCTGAAAAAATCCAAAAAAATTCCCAAATAAAATCCCCAAAATCCCCCTATAAACCCCCCTGAAAATCCTTCCAAAAACCCCAAACCCCCCCCTAAAAAACTCCCCCCAAAACCTCATAAAAATCCCAAAAAATCCCAAAAAATCCCCCAATAAACCCCCTGAAAATCCTTTAAAAAACCCAAAAAATACCCAAACAACCCCTGAAAAATTCCCCCCAAAACCCCATAAAAATCCCCAAAAAATCCAACAAATCCCCCAATAAAACTGCCCCCAAAATCCTTTAAAAAACCCAAAAGGTCCCCCCCCAAAAATTCCCCCCCAAAACCCCATAAAAATCCCCAAAAATTCCCCCAAAACCCCAAAAAAAACCCCAAAAAATTCCCCAATAAACCCCCATGAAAATCCTTTAAAAAACCCAAAATGTCCCCCCCCAAAAACCCCTGAAAAATTCCCCCAAAACCCCATAAAAATAAACAAAAATTCCCAAATAAAATCCCCAAAAATTCCCAAAAATCCCCCAATAAAACCCCCCCAAAATCCTTTAAAAAAACCCCCAAAAAACCCCTAAAACTCCCAAAAAATTCCCCTCAAAACCCCAGAAAAATCCCCAAAAAATTCCCAGAAATTCCCCAATAACCCCCCCACAAAATCTTGCAAAAAAAACCCCCCAAAACCCCTGAAATATTCCCTCCAAAATTCCCAAAAAATTCCCAAAAATTGCCCAAAACCCCCCCCCTGAAAATCCTTAAAAAAAAACCCCAAAAATTCCCCCAAAACCCCATAAAAAATCCCCCAAAAATCCCAAAAATCCTCCAATAAACCCCGCCCAAAATCCTTTAAAAAAACCAAAAAATTCCCCCAAAAAACCCCTGAAAAATTTCCCCAAAAACCCCATAAAAATCCCATAAAAATCCCCCAATAAAATCCCCTGAAAATCCTTTAAAAACCCCAAAATTCCCCCAAAAACCCCTGAAAATCTCCCCCAAAACCCCATAAAAATCCCAAAAAAATTCCCAAAAATCCCCCAATAAACCTCCTGAAAATCCTTAAAAAACCCAAGAAATCCCCCTAAAAACCCCTGAAAAAATAAAAAAAAATCCCAAATAAAATCCCCTACAAACCCCCCTGAAAATCCTTCCAAAAACCCCAACCCCCCCAAAAAATTCCCCCCAAAACCTCATAAAAATCCCCAAAAATTCCCAAAAATCCCCAATAAACCCCCCTGAAAATCCTTTAAAAAAAAAAAAACAAAAAATGCCCCCAAACCCCCCCCAAAATTCCCCCCAAAACCCCATAAAAATCCCAAAAAAATCCCAAATAAAATCCCAAAAAAATTCCCCAGAGTTCCAAAAAGTTCCCAAAAATCTCCCTATAAACCCGCCTGAAAATCCTTTTAAAAAACCCAAAAAATTCCCCTAAAACCCCTGAAAAATCTCCCCTAAAGCCCCATAAAAACCCCAAAAAATTCCCAAAAAAAGTCAAAAAAGTCCCCAAAAAATTCAAAAAAATTCCCAATAAAACGCCCTGAAAATCCTTTAAAAACCCCCCAAAATTCCCCCAAAACCCCATAAAAATCCCAAAAAAATCCCAAAAAAACCCCCCAATAAAATCCACTGAAAATCCTTAAAAATACCCAAAATTTCCCCACAAAAATCCCTGAAAAAATTCCCCCCAAAACCCCATAAAAATCCCAAAAAATCCCCCAATAAAACCCCCTGAAAATCCTTTAAAAACCCCAAAATTCCCCCAAAAACCCCTGAAAATCTCCCCCAAAACCCCATAAAAATCCCCAAAAAATTCCCAAAAATCCCCCACTAAAACCCCCTGAAAATCCTTAAAAAAATAAAAAAATCCCCCCAAAACCCCTGAAAAATAAAAAAAAATTCCCAAATAAAATCCAAAAAATTACCAAAAATCCCCCAATAAAATCCCCCCAAATCCTTTAAAAAAACCCCAAAAATCCCCCCTAAAACTCCCAAAAAATTCCCCCCAAAACCCCATAAAAATAATAAAAAAATTCCCAACAAATCCCCAAAAATCCCCACTATAAAACCCCCCTGAAAATCCTTAAAAAATCACAAAAATCCCCCCAAAAACCCCTGAAAAATCTCCCCTAACACCCCATAAAAACCCCCAAAAAATCCCAAAAATCCCCCAATAAAACCCCCTGAAAATCTTTCAAAAAACCCAAAAGGTCCCCCCAAAAATTCTCCCCCAAAACCCCATAAAAATCCCCCAAAAATTCCCAAAAATCCCCCAATAACCCCCCTGAAAATCCTTTTAAAAGAACCCCCAAAAAACCCCTAAAACTCCCAAAAAATTCCCCTCAAAACCCCACAAAAATCCCAAAAAATTGCCCAAAATTCCCCAACAAACTTCCCCCAAATTCTTTAAAAAAAACCCCAAAAATCCCCCCAAAACCCCATAAAAATCCCAAAAATTCCCCAAAATTTTTTTTAAAAATTCCCCCAAAAAATCCCAAAAATCCCCCTATAAACTTCCCCTGAAAATCCTTTAAAAAAACCCCAAAAAATCCCCCCAAAAACCCCTGAAAAATCTCCCCTAAAACCCCAGAAAAATCCCAGAAAAATCCCAAAAATCCCCCAATAAAACTGCCCCCAAAATCTTTAAAAAAACCCAAAAGGTCCCCCCAAAAATTCCCCCCAAAACCCCATAAAATTCCCAAAAAATTCCCCAAAATCCCCCCAATAAACCCCCCTGAAAAATCCTTAAAAAAAACCCCAAAAAATTCCCCCCAAAACCCAAGAAAAATTCCCCCCAAAACCCCATAAAATTCATAAAAATTCCCAAATAAAATAAAAAAAAAATTCTCAAAAAAATTCCCAAAAAACCCCAATAAAACCCCTTGAAAAATCCTTAAAAAAACCCCAAAAAATGCCCCCAAAAAACCCTGAAAAATTCCCCCAAAACCCCATAAAAAGAAAAAAATTCCCAAAAAATCCCCAAAAATCCCCCAATAAACCCCCTGAAAATCTTTAAAAAACCCCCAAAATCCCCCCAAAAACCCCTGAAAAATTCCCCTAAAACCCCATAAAAATAAAAAAAAAATCACCCCAAAAAATCCCAACAAATTCCCCAAAAATCCCCCAATAAAAAACCCCCCAATATCCTTTAAAAAACCCAAAAAAATCCCCCCCAAAACCCCAAAAAAGCCCCCAAAAACCCCTGAAAAAGCTCCCTAAAACCCCATAAAAATCCCAAAAAATTCCCAAATAAAATCCCAACAAATTCCCCAAAAAATCCCCCAAAATCCCCATAAACCCCCCCCAAAATCCTTTAAAAAACCCAAAAAATCCCCCCAAAAACCCCTGAAAAATCTCCCCTAAAACCCCATAAAAATCCCCAAAAATCCCCCAAAAAATCCCCAAAAAATGCAAAAAAAAATCCCCAAAAAATTCAAAAAAAATCCCAAAAAATTCCCCAAAATCCCACCTAAAAACCCCAAAACTCCTCCCAAAAAATCCTTTTAAACTCCCCCAAAAGCTAAAACTGCCCAAAATGCCCCAAAAATCCCCAAAAATCCCCAAAAATGCCCCAAAATCCCCCCTCACCAATGGCCTTTTTCAGGGTCTCGTAGGTGATTTCCTCAGCGGGGCCTCTGGAAAGGAAAATCTGGGATGAGATTGAGGGAAAATCCCAAAAAATCCTAAAATATCCCAAAACAATCCCCAAAAAATGGAAAAAAATCCTCAAAAAAATCCCCCCAAAAATCACAAAAAAAATTCCCAAAAAATCCCCAAAATCCTGAAAAAAATCGCCCAAAAATCCCCCAAAAATCCTCAAAAAAATCCTCAAAAATCCCCCCAAAATTAAAAAAAAAATCCCCCAAAATTCCCCCAAAAATCCTCCAAAATTCCCCAAAAATCGCAAAAAAATCCCCCCAAAAAATCCCCAAAACATCCCCCCAAAAATCCCAAAATGGAAAAGAAAATCTGGGATGAGACTGAAGGAAAATCCCAAAAAATGCCCAAAAAATGCCCCAAAAAAATCCCCCAAAAAATCCCCCAAAAAATCCCCCAAAAATTCCCCATAAAAATCTCCAAAAAATCCCCAAAAAATGTCCCCAAAAAATCCCCAAAAAATCTAAAAAAAAACACCAAAAATCCACCAAAAATCCCCCCCAAATTCCCAAAATGGAAAAGAAAATCTGGGATGAGACTGAAGGAAAATCCCAAATAAAATCCCAAAATATCCCCAAAACAACCCCAAAAAAATGTCCAAAAATCCCCCTCAAAAATCCCCAACAATCCCCCCAAAAAATCCCCAAAAAAAACCCCAAAAATCCCAAAATGGAAAAGAAAATCTGGGATGAGATTGCAGAAAAATCCCAAAAAAATCCCCCAAAATCCCCCAAAAAAATCCCCCAAAATCCCAAAAAATCCTCAAAAAATCCCCAAAAAATCCCAAAATGGAAAAGAAAATCTGTAATGAGATTGAAGGAAAATCCCCAAAAAATTCCCCCAAAAATTCCCAAAAAATCCCAAAATTCAGAAGAAAATCTGGGATGAGATTGCAGAAAAATCCCAAAAATCCCCAAAAAAATCCCAAAAAGGAAAAGAAAATCTGGGATGAGGTTGAAGGAAAATGCCAAAAAAATCCCCCCAAAATCCCCCAAAAATTCCCCCCAAAAATCCCCAAAAAATCCCAAAAATGGAAAAGAAATTCTGGGATGAGATTGCCGAAAAATCCCCCAAAAGATCCCAAAAAACTCCCCCAAAATCCCAAAAAATTCCCTAAAAAATCCCCCAAAATTCCAAAAAAATCCCCAAAAAATCCCCAAAAAATCCTAAAATGGAAAAGAAAATTTGGGATGAGATTGAAGGAAAATCCCCAAAAAATGCCCAAAAAATGCCAAAAAAATCCCCCCTAAATCCCCAAAAAAAATCCCCCAAAATCCCAAAAAATTCCCCAAAAAAATCCCCCCAAAATCCCAAAAAAATCCCCAAAATCCCGAAAACATCCCCCAAAAATCCCAAAATGGAAAAGAAAATCTGGGATGAGATTACAGAAAAATGCCCAAAAAATCCCCCAAAAAATCCCCCAAAAAATCCCCCCAAAAAATCCCAAAAAAATCCCCCCCAAAAATCCCCAAAAAATCCCAAAAAAGTCCCCAAAAAATCCCAAAAAGGAAAGAAAATCTGGAATGAGATTGAAGGAAAATCCCAAAAAATCCCAAATAATATCCCCAAAAAAATCCCCCCAAAATTCCAAAAATATCCCAAAAATTCCTAAAATTCCCCCAAAATTCCCCCAAAAATCCCCCAATAAACCCTCCTGAAAATCCTTAAAAAAAACCCCAAAATTTTGGGCTTTTTTTGCCATTTTTCTTCTTTTTAATTTGAGGATTTTTTGGTTTTTTCCATTTAAATTCAGGAATTTTCCCTTTTTTTCCCATTTTTGCTGCTTTTTTTTTGCTTTTTTGGGGTTTTTTTCCTTTTAAATTTAGAATTTTTTTTCAATTTTGTTATGGGTTTTTTTTCCCATTTTTGGTCATTTTTAAATATTTTTCCCTTTTTTTTGCTTTTTCTTTTTTTCCATTTGAGCATTTTTTGGGGTTTTTTCCTATTAAATTTAGGATTTTTTTATTATTATTTTTTAAAGTATTTTTTTCCTATTTTTGGTCATTTTTTCTATTTTTTTCCCCTTTTTTTTTGCTTTTTTCTTTTTTTCCATTTGAGGATTTTTTTCCTTTTAAATTCAGGAATTTTTCCTTTTTTTCCAAGATTTTTTTTCCTTTTTTGTTGCCTTTTTTGGGTTTTTTGGGTTTTTATTTCCTTTTAAATTCAGGATTTTTTTCGATTTTTTTTAGGTTTTTTCCCCCATTTTTGATCATTTTTCAATATTTTTTTCCCCCTTTTTTTTTGCTCTTTTCTGGTTTTTTTCCATTGAGAATTTTTTTGGATTTTTTCCATTTAAATTCAGGAATTTTCCCTTTTTTTTCCAAATTTTTTCCCTTTTTTTGGTGCTTTTTCTTTTGCCTTTTTTGGGTTTTTTTCCTTTTAAATTTAGAATTTTTTTTGATTTTGTTATGGGGTTTTTTTTCCATTTTTGGTCATTTTTTAATCTTTTTTTTCCCTTTTTTTTTTTGCTTTTTCTTTTTTTCCATTTGAGCATTTTTTGGGGTTTTTTCCTATTAAATTTAGGATTTTTTTATTATTATTTTTTAAAGTATTTTTTTCCTATTTTTGGTCATTTTTTATATTTTTTTCCCTTTTTTTTTTGCTTTTTTCTTTTTTTCCATTTGAGGATTTTTTTCCTTTTAAATTCAGGAATTTTTCCTTTTTCTCCAAGAATTTTTCCCATTTTTTGGTGCCTTTTATTGCATTTTTTGGGTTTTTATTTCCTTTTAAATTCAGGATTTTTTTCTGATTTTTTTAGGTTTTTTTCCCTTTTTTGGTCATTTTTTAATCTTTTTCCCCTTTTTTAGTTTTTTTCATTTTAAATTCAGCAATTTTCCCTTTTTGTCCTTTTTTTTTCCCCTTTTTTGCTGCTTTTTCTTTTGGTTTTTGGGTCGTTTTTCCATTTTAAATTTAGGATTTTTGGGATTTTTTTAAGGTTTTTTCCCATTTTTGGTCATTTTTTAATATTTTTTCCTTTTTTTTCTTTTTTTTCCATTTGAGGATTTTTTGGGGTTTTTTCCTATTAAATTTAGGATTTTTTTATTATTATTTTTTAAAGTATTTTTTTCCTATTTTTGGTCATTTTTTATTATTTTTTCCCTTTTTTTTTGCTTTTTTTCTTTTTTTTCCATTTGAGGATTTTTTTCCTTTTAAATTCAGGAATTTTTCCTTTTTTTTCCAAGATTTTTTTTTCCTTTTTTGGTGCCTTTTTTTGGTTTTTTTTAGGGTTTTTATTTCAATTTTAAATTCAGGATTTTTTTCGATTTATTTTAGGGTTTTTCCCCCATTTTTGATCATTTTTTAATATTTTTTTCCCCTTTTTTTGCCTTTTTCTGGTTTTTTTTCCATTTAAGAATTTTTTTTGGATTTTTTCCATTTAAATTCAGGAATTTTTCCCTTTTTTTCCAGAATTTTTTCCCCATTTTTGCTGCTTTTTCTTTTGCTTTTTGGGGTTTTTTCCTTTAAATTTAGAATTTTTTTCGATTTTTAATGGGTTTTTTTCCATTTTTGGTCATTTTTTAATCTTTTTTTCCCTTTTTTTTTTGCTTTTTCTTTTTTTCCATTTGAGGATTTTTTGGGGTTTTTTTCCTATTAAATTTAGGATTTTTTAATTATTATTTTTTAAAGTATTTTTTTCCTATTTTTGGTCATTTTTTATATTTTTTCCCTTTTTTTTTGCTTTTTTCTTTTTTTCCATTTGAGGATTTTTTCCTTTTAAATTCAGGAATTTTTCCTTTTTTTTTCCAAGATTTTTTTTTCCTTTTTTTTTCCTTTTTTGGTGCCTTTTTTTGGGTTTTTTTGGGTTTTTATTTCATTTTAAATTCAGGATTTTTTTCGATTTTTTTTAGGTTTTTCCCCCATTTTTGATCATTTTTCAATACTTTTTTCCCCTTTTTTTTGCCTTTTTCTGGTTTTTTTCCATTTGAGAATTTTTTTGGATTTTTTCCATTTAAATTCAGGAATTTTTCCTTTTTCTCCCAGAATTTTTCCCTTTTTTGGTGCTTTTTCTTTGCCTTTTTTTGTTTTTTTTTCATTTTAAATTTCGGATTTTTTTCGATTTTTTACGGGTTTTTTTTTTCCATTTTTGGTCATTTTTTAATATTTTTTCCCCTTTTTTTCTTTTTTTTTATTTTGAGGATTTTTTTGTTTTTTTTCCTTTTAAATTTAGGATTTTATTTGATTTCTTTTAAGTTTTTTTTTTTCAGTTTTTGGTCATTTTTTAATATTTTTTCCAATTTTTTCCCTTTTTTTTTCTCTTTTTTTCCATTTGAGGATTTTTGGGTTTTTTTTTCTTTTTAAATTTAGGATTTTTCCGGGTTTTTTTCCAAGAATTTTTTCCCTTTTTTGATGCCTTTTTTGGTTTGGTTTTTTTTTTTACTTTAAATTCAGGATTTTTTTCGATTTTTTAATGGGTTTTTTCCCATTTTGGTCATTTTTTAATCTTTTTTTCCCTTTTTTTTTTGCTTTTTCTTTTTTTCCATTTGAGGATTTTTTGGGGTTTTTTTCCTATTAAATTTAGGATTTTTTTATTATTATTTTTTAAAGTATTTTTTTCCTATTTTTGGTCATTTTTTAATATTTTTCCCTTTTTTTTGCTTTTTTCTTTTTTTCCATTTGAGGATTTTTTTCCTTTTAAATTCAGGAATTTTTCCTTTTTTTTCCAAGATTTTTTTTTCCTTTTTTGTTGCCTTTTTTTGGGTTTTTTTAGGGTTTTTATTTCATTTTAAATTCAGGATTTTTTTCGATTTATTTTAGGTTTTTTTCCCCCATTTTTGATCATTTTTTCAATATTTTTTTCCCCTTTTTTTTGCCTTTTTCTGTTTTTTTTCCATTTGAGAATTTTTTTGGTTTTTTTTCTTCTTAAATTCAGGAATTTTTCCTTTTTTTTCCAAGAATTTTTTCCCCATTTTTGCTGCTTTTTCTTTTGCTTTTTCGGGTTTTTTTTCATTTTAAATTTCGGATTTTTTTCGATTTTTTAGGGGTTTTTTTTCC